AGATTAAAATTATCCTTCTTGACTCGTTTGACTACATAGTTCTCCTTATATCTTCCCATCTAATATTTCTCAACCCTAAAGTATGGCATGCCGCCTTAACAATAATCTGAATCCTTTCTGTCTTTGATCTCACATCTGAGGTTGCATTTATCACTCCTGCAATAAACGTCACCATTTTCTTTTTCTCCTCCTCTATTCTCCTATCAACCCTTTCCATAACCTTTTGGATATAGATTTTTCCCCTGTCAAAGATTTCCCATTTTGTTCCTCTTTCCCAACCATTTTACATGCTTCTGCATATGTTACTTTCTGCACAATCTTTGTTTTCTGTATCACTACTTGCTGTTTCATCACTTCACATCCCCAAAAAGCAACACTATGTTCTCCTCCACAACTACAGCACTTTGGCTTTACTCCAACTCCACATTTTCCATATTCATGATCTCCGAACATCGGGCACATCTCCTTTTTCCTTTACACATTTTTGCAACATGTCCAAACTCTTGACAATTGAAACATCTACTGGTTTAGGCACAAACTCCCTGACACTAAATCTTATCAAACCAAAGAAAACCTCCTTTAGTACCTCTTTCGTTTCAAACTCCACTAGGACAGTTTCTGTTTCATCTTTCTCTGGACCTTTTGTCATTCTTTGTGCTCCTTTTACTTCCCTATTTCTTCTTTAAATGTCCAACCAATTTCATATTTACTGAAGGCACTCCAGTGATAACTCCTTTACTTCCAATGTTTCTTTTTTCACCCACTCTAACGACTGTTCTAACTTTTACTTTACATAATTTCTCGCTTTTACCACCTGATCTTCCCAATACACCCAACAGATTTTCCGTCTCTCAAAACTTTAGCATGTTTAATATCTCCAATATGCGCTTTAAGTGCTTTTGTTAATTTCAGTGGATCCATCTTCTTAACCCGTTCTTCTTCATCAAATCTTATAATAATGTTCATATTTGGGCTTTTTGATTCTTCTACTTTTTCCTCAGATCCTTCACTCTCAGTGTCTTCCGTACTTTCCTCATTTCGCTTTTTCCTCTTCCTTTCAGCAGCTCGTGTTTTTTCCACCCTTCTCCACCTTCTCCACTCTTTCCCTTCATTTTGATCATCCATCCCTTCCTCTTCACTACAGTCCACATTATTTCCCAGTTTTCCCCAAATCATCCATACTTTAATTTAAGTCCCATTTATCCGTCAAAAACTCAAATCCAAACTTTCCTGTCTTCGCTCTCAACCTCCGTCCAATAGCGTCGGGCGTCTCCCCCACACACAGCTCAAAAAAGCGGAAGAAGGTGGCCAGTCTGTCACAGACGCTAAATATATACACAGATTTTAAAAACTAAAAAAAAAAAAAAATATATATATATATATATATATATATTATATATATATATATAAATTCCCTTCTCACCCACCGCGGGTGGTTCTTATCCTCTGAGCTCGGGTCCTCTACCAGAGGCCTGGGAGCTTGAGGGTTCTGCGCAGTATCTTGGCTGTGCCAAGGACTGCACATTTCTGGACTGAGATGTCTGATGTTGTTCCTGGGATCTGTTGTAGCCACTGCTCCAGTTTGGGGGTTACTGCCCCGAGGGCCGATGACCACAGGCACCACGTGGTCTCACCTCCAGGCCTCTCCAGTTCCTCCCTGAGGCCCTTCTCCTAGTTTTCTCGTGCTCCTTTTTCCTGATGTTGCAATCACTTGGTATTGCTACATCTACCACAACGGCTTTCCTCTGATGTTTTATCCATACGACAATGTCTGGTTGGTTCGCCATTACCATTTTGTCTGTCTGGATCTGGAAGTCCCACAGGATCTTAGCTCTGGCGTTCTCCACCACCTTTGGGGGTGTTTCCCACTTTGATCTTGGGGTTTCCAGTCCATATTCTGCACAGATGTTTCTGTACACTATGCCTGCCACTTGGTTATGTCGCTCCATGTACGCTTTCCCTGCCAGTATCTTGCACCCTGCTGTGATGTGCTGGACTGTCTCAGGGGCCTCCTTGCACAACCTACACCTTGGGTCTTGTCTGGTGTGGTAGATCTGGGCCTCTATTGCTCTGGTGTTTAGAGCCTGTTCCTGGGCGGCCAGGATGAGGGCCTCTGTGCTGTCCTTGAGTCCAGCTTTTTCCAGCCATTGGTAGGATTTACTGATATCAGCCACTTGGGTTATTTGCTGGTGGTACATCCCATGTAGGGGCTTGTCCTCCCATGATGGTATCTCTGGCACCTCAACCTCCGTTCCCTGTTGTCTGAGACATTCACTGAGCACATTGTCTGTTGAGGCTTTGTCCCTAATGTATTTATGGATCTTAGTTGTTTCGTCCTGGACAGTGGTTCTCACACTCACTAGTCCTCTGCCTCCGTCCTTGCGGCTCGTGTACAGTCTCAGGGTGCTGGATTTGGGATGGAACCCTCCATGCATGGTTAGTAGCTTTCTAGTCTTAATATCTGTGGCTTTTATCTCCTCCTTTGGCCAGCTAATTATTCCAGCAGGGTATCTGATTACTGGCAAGGCATAGCTGTTTATCGCACGGATTTTGTTCTTGCCATTGAGCTGGCTTCTCAGGACTTGCCTTATTCGTTGGAGGTATTTAGCTGTGGCTCCTTTCCTTGTGACCTCATCGAGGTTGCCATTTGCTTGTGGTATACCTAGGTACTTGTAACTGTCCTCTATGTCTGCTATTGTTCCTTCTGGGAGTGAGACCCCTTCTGTGTGGATGACCTTCCCCCTCTTTGTGACCAGCCGACCACATTTCTCTAGTCCGAATGACATCCCAATGTCAGTGCTGTAGATCCTGGTGGTGTGGATCAGTGAGTCGATGTCTCGCTCACACTTGGCGTACAGCTTGATGTCATCCATGTAGAGTAGGTGACTGATATTGGCCCCATTTTTGAGTCTGTATCCGTAGCCAGTCTTGTTGATAACTTGGCTGAGGGGGTTCAGGCCTATGCAGAACAGTAGCGGGGACAGAGCATCTCCTTGGTATATGCCACATTTGATGGACACTTGTGCAAGTGGTTTGCAGTTGGCTTCAAGGGTGGTTTTCCACAGCCTCATTGAGTTTGCAATGAAGGCTCTCAGAGTCCTGTTGATGTTATACATCTCTAAGCATTCAATGATCCAAGTATGCGGCATTGAGTCATAGGCTTTCTTGTAATCAATCCAAGCCATGCACAGGTTGGTGTGTCGGGTTTTGCAGTCTGTGCGGTCTACGAGGAGTTGGTGTTTGGCTCCTCTGCTATTTACACCGATACCCTTCTGTGCCGTGCTCATGTGTTTATCCATGTGTTTGCTTATCTTGGCCGCTATGATGCCTGACATGAGCTTCCAGGTTGTGGAGAGGCAGGTTATTGGTCGGTAGTTGGGTGGGACTGGACCCTTTGATGGATCCTTCTGGATTAGGATTGTCCGCCCTTCAGTTAACCATTCAGGGTGAGTCCCACTTTGTAGCAGCTGGTTCATTTGGGCTGCCAGTCGCTCATGGAGAGCAGTGAGTTTCTTTAGCCAGTAGGCATGGATCATGTCAGGCCCTGGTGCTGTCCAGTTTTTCATACCTGAGACTCTTTCTTGGACATCTGTCACAGTGATGGTTACCGGGGCTTGCTCAGGGAGGTTGCTGTGGTCCTCTCGTAGAGAGATCAGCCACTGTGCATTGCTGTTGTGGGACGCCTCCCTTTCCCATATGCCTTTCCAGTATTGTTCCGTCTCCAGCCTTGGTGGGTCTGCTCTGTTGTTATTGTTACCCTGCCATTGAGAGTACACCTTAGCTGGTTGAGTGGAGAAGAGCCGGTTAATCCTTCTGGATTCATTCTCCCTTGTGTATCTCTTTAGGCGGCTGGACAAGGCTTGGAGCCTCTGTTTGGCAGTCTCGAGTGCTTCAGGTATGGGCATCTGCCTGTACTTTCTGGGTACTGGTCTTTTCATTGCACCCTTGTGGAGCTCTGACAGTTGGCTCACTTCCCTCCTTGTTACCTTGATTTTAGCCTCTAACCGTCTTTTCCATGGTGGGTATTGGGTCTCATGGTTGCTCTTATAGCCAAGTATCTCAAGGATCACTGATGCTGAGTTGTAGATCAGCTCATTGGTTTCTGTTATGGTGTTGGTAGGGATCGTTCTCAATGCTGCATTCACATTCTCAATGAGACTTTCAGATGGTACTTCACTCAGCCGTTGTAATTGGCGCCGGGGAGGCCTGGTTGTCATTCGGGTCATGATTCTCTCTCTCAGGTCAGCAGCTGTCTCGTTCAGCTCTGTTTCGCTCATTGGGGCCGTGTATCCCCTCACTGGGTGGGGACTTGTAGTTAAGTCCCCACAGTCCTGACATCCGGGTTCCTCCCTTTTGCCGTAGCATTTGTGTTGTATCTCGTCAATCTCAAGTTGTGATAGCAGTTGCCGTTTGCGGATGTTGGAACACTGAGCTACTAGTTGTTTAGCGCTTAGTGTTGACTGGGGATGTCGAAGTAACCATTCCTTCCCCAGTCTTTGCATGTAACCTCTCTCACTAGGGTTACTTGAGTAGTAGCATTCCAACAGATCCACATTTTCATCTCTCGCCCATTTCCGTCTTGTTCCAGTAGCCCATTTGTCATCAAGGTGCTCTGGTTCCCCAACACCTGACGCAGACCTTGTTTGGCCGGGCGACGTCTGAGCCGGCATGTTATGCAACTTAGTATCTCTCATGGTATGAGGTAGGCAGTAGCTTGAAGGGTCTTGCCTAAGGACCCAGACTGGATTCGAACCCTGCCCTCTCGGGTGATATACCGATGCCTTATGTATTGAGCTATCCAGTCAGCTTATATATATATATATATATATATATATATATATATATATATATATATATATATATATATATATATATATATATATATATATATATACACAAACGCACACATATTTATATATAGAGATATGTATTGAAACGTCTCCACCTGGTGGTGAATTTAAACTGGTAAACTGGGTTCCTGTTGGTTCGGCCGGAAGCGGTTAGCAGCTTTAGCTGCTAACCGCTGCTAGGCGTTTAGCAGCGCCGAGCAGCGGTTAGCAGCGGTTAGCAGCGCTAGCATCGTGAGCTTCTCCTGCTGCGTGTTGGTCAGCTGACTGGTCATGTGACTCCCGGTCGGTCCGGTTCCCACCTGAGAATATCTCCATTTCTCCTCGAACTACCCGCAGAAGGAGGCAAGAAGCTGGAGACCCAGTGAGAAGCTGCTGGGTTCAACAAGCGAGCCGAGCCTGGTTCTGGTTCTGGTTCTGGTTCTGGTTCGGGCGGTGAGTCATTTCTTGCTGCTTATTATTGTATCTTTTGATCACCTGACTGGGAGCCACATCCGCCTTAATTATGACAGAGAGCCGTTTTTCTGATTATTAAAACTATGACAGAGAAACATCTGAAGCTGCAGAGGTTTCCTATCTGGGTCATCTTAGCCGAACCTTCTGCTGTTCCGGGGGGTTTGGACCTCTATGACTCTAACATGGATAAAAACATTTATGAATATCTCCCCAGACAGACAGGATCTATGTCGGTCCAGTTCGGTCAGGTGTGGGTTCAGGGACCAACTGCTGGTCTGTCCCTTTAATTGTGCTTTAACTAGACCAGATGATAAGAGCTGTGTCCATCAGATCCGGTGCATTTATGGTCAAAGCGTGTTTATTCTGCATTCAGTGAAATTAGTCAGTGGTCAGAGGATCCAGTAATCGTAGATACTTCAAGATAATATTTTTTAAATAAAAGTAAAACTACGTTGTAGTAAAACTACTTTTTTGTATAAATGTAACTAGTTCCTGCCCACCAGCTCTCTGCTGGAGAAGCTGCTTCAGGTGAGAATCTGCCAATCTAAAGCTGCAGCTAACAGCATCAACACTGGAGCGAACAGCATCAAAACTGGAACTAGCAGCATAAACCTGGAGCTAGCAGCATCAAAACTGGAGCTAACAGCATCAAAACTGGAGCTAACAGCATCAAAACTAGCTAACAGCGTCAAAACTGGAGCTAGCAGCATCAAAACTGGAACGAGAAGTGTCAATACTGGAGCTAGCAGCATCAAAACTGGAACGAGAAGTGTCAATACTGGAGCTAGCAGCATCAAAACTGGAGCTAACAGCATCAAAACTGGAGCTAGCAGCATCAAAACTGGAGCTAACAGCATCAAAACTAGCTAGCAGCATCAAAACTGGAGCTAACAGCATCAAAACTAGCTAACAGCATCAAAACTGGAGCGAGCAGCGTCAAAACTGGAGCTAGCAGCGTCAAAACTGGAGCTAGCAGCATCAAAACTGGAGCTAACAGCATCAAAACTGGAGCTAGCAGCATCAAAACTGGAGCTAACAGCATCAAAACTGGAGCTAGCAGCATCAAAACTGGAGCTAGCAGCATCAAAACTGGAGCTAACAGCATCAAAACTAGCTAGCAGCATCAAAACTGGAGCTAACAGCATCAAAACTAGCTAACAGCATCAAAACTGGAGCTAGCAGCATCAAAACTGGAGTTAGCAGCGTCAAAACTGGAGCTAGCAGCATCAAAACTGGAGCTAACAGCATCAAAACTAGCTAGCAGCATCAAAACTGGAGCTAACAGCATCAAAACTAGCTAGCAGCATCAAAACTGGAGCTAGCAGCATCAAAACTGGAGCTAACAGCATCAAAACTAGCTAACAGCATCAAAACTGGAGCGAGCAACGTCAAAACTGGAGCTAGCAGCGTCAAAACTGGAGCTAGCAGCATCAAAACTGGAGCTAACAGCATCAAAACTAGCTAGCAGCATCAAAACTGGAGCTAACAGCATCAAAACTAGCTAACAGCATCAAAACTGGAGCGAGCAGCGTCAAAACTGGAGCGAGCAACGTCAAAACTGGAGCTAGCAGCATCAAAACTCCAGCTAACAGCGTAAAAACTGGAGCTAGCAGCATCAAAACTCCAGCTAACAGCGTAAAAACTGGAGCTAGCAGCATCAAAACTGGAGTGAGCAGCGTCAAAACTAGCGAGCAGCGTCAAAACTGGAGCGAGCAGCATCAAAACTGGAGCGAGCAGCGTCAAAACTGGAGTGAGCAGCGTCAAAACTGGAGTGAGCAGCGTCAAAACTGGAGCTAGCAGCATCAAAACTGGAGCTAGCAGCATCAAAACTGGAGCTAGCAGCATCAAAACTGGAGCTAACAGCATCAAAACTAGCTAACAGCATCAAAACTGGAGCGAGCAGCGTCAAAACTGGAGCGAGCAGCGTCAAAACTGGAGCTAACTGCACCAGAACTTGGGCTAACAGCATCAAAACTGGAGCGAGCAGCGTCAAAACTGGAGCGAGCAGCGTCAAAACTGGAGCGAGCAGCGTCAAAACTGGAGCTAACAGCGTCAAAACTGGAGCTAGCAGCATCAAAACTCCAGCTAACAGCGTAAAAACTGGAGCTAGCAGCATCAAAACTGGAGTGAGCAGCGTCAAAACTAGCGAGCAGCGTCAAAACTGGAGCGAGCAGCGTCAAAACTGGAGTGAGCAGCGTCAAAACTACCTAGCAGCGTCAAAACTGGAGCTAGCAGCATCAAAACTGGAGCTAGCAGCATCAAAACTGGAGCTAGCAGCATCAAAACTGGAGCTAGCAGCATCAAAACTGGAGCTAACAGCATCAAAACTGGAGCTAACAGCATCAAAACTGGAGCTAGCAACATCAAAACTGGAGCTAGCAGCATCAAAACTGGAGCTAGCAGCATCAAAACTGGAGCTAGCAGCATCAAAACTGGAGCTAGCAGCATCAAAACTGGAGCTAACAGCATCAAAACTGGAGCTAGCAACATCAAAACTGGAGCTAGCAGCATCAAAACTGGAGCTAGCAGCATCAAAACTGGAGCTAGCAGCATCAAAACTGGAGCTAACAGCATCAAAACTGGAGCTAACAGCATCAAAACTGGAGCTAGCAACATCAAAACTGGAGCTAACAGCACCAGAACTGGAGCTAGCAGCATCAAAACTGGAGCTAGAAGCATCAAAACTGGAGCTAGAAGCATCAAAACTGGAGCTAGCAGCATCAAAACTGGAGCTAGAAGCATCAAACTAGAGCTTTTTTACGGCATGCAGAGCCTGATGCTACTTCCATCGCTAGCTTATAAGGTGACAGCAGTGAGGCTGCAGCCCAGTTCTGAACCCACCATTAACGACCCAGGCCACTGTTCTGATGGTTCTGATGCAGCTTGTTTGTCTCTACTTCCTGTCCTCTCCAGGAAGTTTTCCTAATTTGGGCTTAGACGATCCTCCAGTATGGGTCCAGACGGGAAGAAGCTGCTGAACATCGTCATTCTTGGCTTCGGCTTCATGTTCATGTTTACAGCCTTCCAGACATGTGGAAACATTGAGGTGGGTCGATTCTGGTTCTGGTTCTGGTTCTGGATCAGCAGCTGAAGCTCCTCCTCTTTGTGTTTGCAGCAAACAGTCATCAAGAGCTTCAACAGCACCGAGTTTCATGGAAGTGGCTATACAAGGTAAGATTCTGGTCCCGGTTCTGATCCCGGTCCAGGTTCTGGTTCTGATGGTGTCCTCCTCCCCAGCATGGCGATCATTTATGGCGTTTTCTCTGCCTCCAACCTGATGGCGCCCTCCGTGGTGACGCTCATCGGACCGCAGGTCTCCATGTTCCTCAGCGGGATCTTGTACAGGTACCACTTCCTGCCACACAGCTGAAGGTTCTGACCCGGTTCTGAGCCTGTTCTGACCTGTCTCCTGTTTCCAGCGGCTACATCGCCATGTTCATCCACCCGCTGACCTGGACCTTCTACACGGCCTCCGTGCTGGTGGGCGTGGCCGCCGCAGGTACAGCTGATGCTCCTCCTCTTCCTGCTCTTCCTGCTCTTCCTCCTCTTCCTCCTCTTCCTCCTCTTCCTCCTCTTCCTCCTCTTCCTCCTCTTCCTCCTCTTCCTGCTCTTCCTCCTCTTCCTCCTCTTCCTGCTCTTCCTCCTCTTCCTCCTCTTCCTCCTCTTCCTCCTCTTCCTGCTCTTCCTGCTCTTCCTCCTCTTCCTCCTCTTCCTCCTCTTCCTGCTCTTCCTCCTCTTCCTCCTCTTCCTCCTCTTCCTCCTCTTCCTCCTCTTCCTCCTCTTCCTCTAACCCGTCTCTCTCTCTCCAGTCTTGTGGACGGCTCAGGGAAACGTTTTGGCGATCAATTCCACCGATCGATCCATTGGGAGGAACAGTGGCATTTTCTGGTCGCTGCTCCAGTTCAGGTAAACCGGGTCGTCCAGCAGAACCAGAACCGATGCTTAGCTGGCTGATGCTAGTGAGGCTCTGGTTACCAAGGAAACCACAGACAGGGTTTTACCAGAACCCTGAAGGAAAGTATTCACACCCCTTTCTATTTCTACTCTGGCCCGGTTCTGACCTGGTTCTGACCCAGGGAGTTGATGGTTCAGTGTGTGAATCTTTCCAACTGGAGCTTTAGTCTCAGAGTTCCTCTCCTGGATGTCGCCCTTTCGCCGAGTTTTCCAGTCACTCTCGGTTTATTGTCAGCTTCCTGATTGCAGGCCAATCAGAGGAAGCCGCTTCAGTTTCATACATTTAGCATCCAGACAATAAAATCAACCGTCATCATTCAGCAGATTTACCTGAGCGTTTGGCTCCTACAGCTGATCGTCTCTTTCTGAGCCTGTTGCCTGCTGATTAGTGATGATTAGTGATGATTAGTGATGATTAGTGATTATGCTTTTCGACCCATGGCTCTGTGTCCATACTGTGCCACTGAATACTGACACCTGCTGGACATTAAAAATCCCTGCAGGCAACAAAGTTGACAACTGATTTGATGACCAACTTCCTACAATAAGTTTTAAGTCACTGTATTTTATTGTACATTGTAGTATTATTTCATATCTTCAGTTAAATTCAAAATATATCTGATATTCTTAGAAACCGTCAATAAATAATGTGAACATGGACCATAAAGTGAAAATTTAAGTGAACGATTTGCAATGACGATGCTTGTGGAGAATCGTCATTCCAAACATTTTTTCTTCACAAATTTTCATCAGAAAAAAAACAGTTTTTCCAACATTTTGAAATTTGTCTGTTACGCTTTTTTGACACAACTTGTCCTGTTGTAGAAAAAGAAATGAAGTAAACAACACATTTATATGAAAAAATTCATAAAAAGCAACAGAGTAATTTGTAGAATACCTGAGTTTATCCAGGTGTATCTGGGATTCATCCTGATGCTCTATGATGGTGGATTTATTAAATCAAACATATGAAACTTAACCTGCAGGACATGATATGAATGTAAACTAAGAGTCAATTTCAGATGAATTAGGATTCAGATAGATCCAGTAGAAACTGGAAAGAACCGGATGAAACAACAACCAAGTGAAAACCAAGAGCTTATTTTCTGATGTGGATCAAAATGGCCCCAAACGACCAAACCTTTCGTTTGGCTTCAGGCTCCATATTGACGCTGTAAAAGATCAAGAATCCTTTTGGCAAATGCATCCTGTTAAAGATTTGCTTCCTTATAAACACAGTTTGGCGCCTCTGTGTCATTTCCAGACACTTCCTGTATCGGTCAAGTGACTTCCTGAAAGCAACGCGCTCCGATGCGGGTTTGTCTGAGGGCTTGACGCATCGGTGTTGCCGGACCCATCACTACTGCTGATATTCGCGCTTCTATTTTTGCCATAGATGAGATTTTTATTTCTATTGTTGTAATTAGTCTGTTACCAGTTTAGTTTCCAGCTGCAGCCATTTTGGTGCAAAGGTCTCTGATCTGATCTCCTCTGGTTGCAGCTTGTTCTTCGGGAACCTCTACATCTACTGCGCCTGGCACGGCCACGTCCACATCACAGGTAGGAGGCGGCAGCAGGCGGCGCCCGACTGCCGCCGACTCACTCCGACTCACTCCGTGTCTTTCAGACAAGGACCGTCGGACCGTCTTCATCTCTCTCACCGTCATCAGTTTGGTCGGCTGCTTCCTCTTCTTCCTGATCAGAAAACCCGACCCGGAGTCTTCCTCCGGTTCTGAGGCGACAGAGTCTCTACTACAGTCTGAGTCCGGAGATGGGTCCACAGACAGGTGAGGTTCTGGTCCACAGACAGGTGAGGTTCTGGTCCACAGACAGGTGAGGTTCTGGTCCACAGACAGGTGAGGTTCTGGTCCACAGACAGGTGAGGTTCTGGTCCACAGACAGGTGAGGTTCTCAGTGGACTGTAAAAAGTATTCACCCCCCTGGATGGTAGGAACCAGTTTCCTCTTTGACGTTGAAGACTTTCTGAAATGAACCCTGTCAGGGGGCAAATTCAGCCTGGTTTCCCGCCAGGCTGTATTTGCCCCCACCAGGCTCACAATACTTCATGTTTTGAGGAATTGAGTCTCGTGTTTTCTGTGTCTGCAGTTCATCCAGAAAAGATCTCTGCACTCAGGCTCTGGATGCTTTTGGTACCATCAACACACTCTTCATCATCCTCCTCTCCCTCCTCTTCCTCCTGACCTTTGCTCTCTGTCTACAGTCCAGGCCTGCAAGATCTCCGTCACCAAGGAGATGCTGCTGCTGAGCGCCTCCATCGGATACACAGGTGGGTTCTGCTGTAGGACCGGTTCTGAGACTTTTAACCGACCCAGTTGGAACCACCTGAAACCAAGTTTAGTTTCAAGATTCTAAAAGTCCATCAACCCTGCAGCTCAGTGAGGTTCTGGTTCTCTCAGATTAATGATTGGGCCGAAACAAGTTCTGGTTCTGTTCCCTCTCAGGACTGGAGCTGACCTTCTACAGTGGCGTGTACGGAACCTGCATCGGCGCCATGACCCGGTTCGGGTCCGATGCCAAGAGTCTGATCGGCATCTCTGGGATCTGCATCGGTCTGGGAGAGATCATAGGTAAGCAGCCGGTCCGGTCCGGTTGGAGCGTCCGGTCCGATCTGGGCTCTGCAGCGGAGCTGTTTACCCAGCTGTTTCCCTTTCCCTCCAGGAGGGGGCGTCTTTGGGATGCTGAACAAGAAAAACCGGTTTGGGCGGAACCCGGTGGTTCTGCTGGGACTCATAACGCACTTTGTGGCATTTTTCCTGATTTTCTTGAACATCGCCAGCGATGCTCCGCTGGCGCCGGAGGGCGGCACGGATCTGGAGGCCTTCATCGCGCCCAGGTAGGAAGCGCTGCCCCCTGCTGGTCAGAATCACTCTATGCTTTCACTATCCAGCTACTGAAAGGAAGCAAAGCATCCAACACATTTTGAGAAAGTTCAGCAAATAGCTTGGTCTCGGTTGGATTTTGTTGGACTCTGCTGGTCACCTGATCAGCTTAAGAAAATTGTTGATGCACGTGAACCATGTTGTTTTGTTTGAAGCATTCCTAACTTGTAGGTGGTTGGATCAGTTTGGAGCATAAAGTCAACAAAATGCAACTGGGGATCCTGTTAAACCAGTATGTGATGTCATGTGGAGCAGAGTTGGGCCTCCATATTACTGTAAAACAGCCGACTTCCTTTACAACTCAACATACTGGAACAGTTTGGCTTTTGAGAAACCAGTAAAAACTTTCTGGACAAATGTAAAAGTTTCTCTCTCTCTCTGTCTCTCTCTCTCTCTCTCTCTCTCTCTCTCTCTCTGTCTCTCTCTCTGTCTCTCTCTCTCTGTCTCTCTCTCTCTCTCTCTCTCTCTCTCTCTCTCTGTCTCTCTCTCTGTCTCTCTCTTCCTCTCTCTCTCTGTCTCTCTCTCTCTCTCTCTTCCTCTCTCTCTTTCTCTCTCTCTCTCTCTTGCAGTGTTCCCTTGGCTATGATCTGCAGCTTCCTGTTGGGCCTTGGCGACAGCTGCTTCAACACACAGCTGCTCAGCATCATCGGCTTCCTGTTCCGGGACAACAGCGCCCCCGCCTTCGCAGTCTTCAAGTTCATCCAGGTTCTGGTTCCGACCCGGGCCTCCAACTCGGTGGAACCGGAACGCCGCTAACTCTTCTCCTTCTCTTTGCAGTCCATCATGGCCGCCGTGGCCTTCTTCTACAGCAACTTCCTGCTGCTGCACTGGCAGCTCCTCATCCTCGTCGTCTTCGGCTTCCTGGGCTCCGTGTCCTTCTTTGCTGCCGAGTGGCTCGCCGAGTCCAGGAGGAGGGACTCGGACTACGACAGCATCTGAAGCGTCCAGGAGACGCCCAGATGGACGGACGCCAGGAGACGCTGTCCTCCCAGATAAACTCTTCTTTCTTTAAGCTCACCTTGCTGGATGGTGGAGGGAAAACCCGGAGCGGATCATACTTGAGGAAGCTGCTGCTGTAGATGTTTGGAGACTACAGGTCACCCAGAGAGACCGTGGACGTCCAGCTGGTCCAACCTGTCTCTGGAGATATTCCTCACCTGCTTTAAACAGAACCTGCAGGTTCTGGGTTCTCTGCAGAACCTCTGAGACCAGAAACAGAACATCTCAGTTTAAATGACACACTAATGCACAGGTGTCAAACTCCAGTCCCGGAGGCCCACTGGCTGCCCTGCAGCGTTTAGATGACAGAACGATGAGCTCATTAAGGTTCTGGAGAACCGATCCTCAGTGGAGGAGGAAATGAAGCCGTTTCATTCCAGGATTTTGTACCTGAGGCTCATCTAAAACCTGTGGGCCTCCAGGCCTGGACTGTGACACCCCTGCACTAACTGGAGCTGGGTTCATTTAAGGGCGTCGGCGTCAATCAGTCTGGATATAAATGCACACCACACTTGTCAGATTATTAAAATGTAAAAAAGAAATCAACCAATAATTTTGGGAATCTTGGATCATTTGTGAAGCTTGAGTTTGGACTAGACCAAAATGTGACAAAATGTTCTGTGAATACGTGGAAGTAATCGGGTCAGAACCTCTGAAGAACCAGTTTAATGCCTCTGGGTCCAAACCCAGCACATAATCCCGTTTATCGCGCTCCGGCCTTCATCTGGCTGATTCAGGGTTCATTTAATCCGAGTCAATAAGGGAAATAATCAGTTTGATATTTATTAAATGTAGTAGTTATGGCTTATCAATTGTATCTGTTGCCAATAAAATTGTTTCTAAAACATAAGCTGCTTATCTGGTTACAGCAGGAACCAAAGGGTTAAAGATGGCCGACGGGAACAGAACCGGCTTCAGTTCGCTGGTTTCTGGGTCGGTTTTTATTCTAGATCATAAAACCAAGACAGCAGATTAAGCCGATATTTTCTGCCTGAATTGACCCTCAATTCATTTTCACCAAAGCAGTAGCACGTTAGTTATCATGGCAATTTATCCTGTGCAGCTAGCCTGCTCCTGGCCAGGCTTACCGCCAGGCTTACCGCCAGGCTTACCCCCAGGCTTACCCCCAGGCTTACCGCCAGGCTTACCCCCAGGCTTACCGCCAGGCTTACCGCCAGGCTTACCCCCAGGCTTACCGCCAGGCTTACCGCCAGGCTTACCGCCAGGCTTACCGCCAGGCTTACCGCCAGGCTTACCGCCAGGCTTACCCCCAGGCTTACCCCCAGGCTTACCCCCAGGCTTACCCCAGGCTTACCCCAGGCTTACCCCCAGGCTTACCGCCAGGCTTACCGCCAGGCTTACCGCCAGGCTTACCCCCAGGCTTACCCCCAGGCTTACCGCCAGGCTGCCATAAAATACTATTATCAATTTAAAATGTATCCATAGAAAACGTGATTGAGTCCAAGAGTAAAATCAAACCGTTTGTAACCACAGGTGATTTTTGTCTCATTGATTTTACAACCATGTTTCTGTCCTTTTGTTAAATTGTTTTATTGCTTGACACTGTGCAATAATTAAAATACTTTACCAATATTTTTCTTTTTATTGGCTTGCAAAATTCTGTAAGTACATGGATCCGCCTGTCAGCCATTTTGCGTCTGAAAGGAGCAGGATGATGGCGTCACCATTGTGACGTTCATATAAAATACAAATGGGAAGAACAACGGTGCTGGTTCTGGTTCTGTTGGACCTCATAGTTGGCCATGACATATTGCTTGGTTGGATTCTGGTCCAGTCTGGACTGGTTCCAGTCTGACATGAAAAACTGGGATTTCTTTGTTTCA